CTGGAGAATTCTGGGAGTTGAAGTCCACTCCTCTTAAAGTGGCCAAGTTTGGACAACACTGGTTTAGACTATCCACATTGTTAACTAATTCTAATTTAAGAGTAACTGCAATACATAGCTTTCCAGTTACGGGATCTTCCATTGTTAATCATTTTTCAGTCTCATAGGAAATGGAAAAAATACTCTTGCCTTTGACGTAGATGGGAAAGAGCAGGCAATTTGATGTGTGTCCTAGTAGCTTCAGGTTCGCACTTGTAAGTTCTCCCAGTACTCCAGAGCTCTGTCTTGTAATAAATACATGTGTGTAGGTGCACATAAACACACACATACACACACACACAGCCTTGCATGTGCACCTACATAGATTGAATGAAGATTTTCCTGAAGGCAAAGTCTCCTTGGAACTGAGGTCCATTAACAATCCTGGCAACAATATGGTGGCTTCCTGCTGCCTTGTTCTGGGCTATTGGTTTGTTTTAACTTCCCTGTCTAGTCTACAGCCCTGAGATGTTCTGCTGCTGTCTCATCCAATCATGGACCAGGCCTGATTGGGTCAGTTTCTAAGCCAGACAAGGTGTTCTTTTCTTAAATGAGTATCTGCTTTCTGCAATAGCCGACTGTGGTTTCCTGAACGGCTTTGCACTTGTGGCATTTATGCTATCGGTCCTCGCAGCAGCTTTTCATGAAAAGAGAGACCATATTCTTTGCGCGCTGTCTCTTTGCACCTTTCAAAATATTTTCTCAAACTTTTTGCAGAACGTTATATATCCACGGCCACACAAAGTTGGATTTCACAGTCTGGCATACTGCAATTGAAAAAGCAGCAGGTACAGATGGCAACATGTTAGAAGATCAGCAGCTCGGCAAAAATGACGTTCCGATTATAGTGAACAGCTGTATTGCATTTGTTACACAGTATGGTAAGTAGCCGAGCGTTTGTTCGGATTCCCGAAAATTGGAGATGCGTTCAGATAAAGTGCTTAAGAAGCATCACCATCAGATTACATTACGTGGGCTTGAGCTGTAAAGGCTACACTTTTAGAGGTGCTTGCTGTGATGCTCAGTTCGGGGTAGGTGTGTTGAGAATGTAACATGTATCTCATTATGTGGACAATAGGGCTGGGAAATTAAAACTAGAGCTTCCTGCACCAGAGGGACCTCTTGTGTTTGTATTAGAGGGAATAATTAACTGCACAATGATGGTGCCCTACGTGGTTTCTGTTGCAGAGCAGCTACCTGCTTTTGAAAATTTCACTCCTGCTACAAAGACAGAAACTTGCATGGTGACTGGCAACTGGTACTCTACAATGTCCACACTGGATTCCACTTCTAGCCTACTGGTTATAAAAACGTTTTGCCAGTCACTCTCCCTGGATATTTTCTTTTGCAGTAATCATAGGAAAGGATTTGGTCCACGTTATCACTCTTGGGGTAGCCAAGAGACTCCTCAAGTCCAGACATTGCTGTCCAGTGGGATGGTCAACTTTTTTCAGTCTGGGAAGATGGGCAGGTCTGAAATTATTTAGCCTGTTCTTTCTTTTTGGTGGAATGTGGAGTGTTAAAGTGTTACATGGGGGTTACCTATTTTGCGTCTTATAAGGGCACGAAAAACTCCAAACTCAGCCAGAACTTTGCTAGTATTGCTGCTGAATTTTGGCAGCACAAATGGGAGATGGTTGGGAGATGCAAAATGGTGGCTGCAGCATGGGGGATAAGCAGTTACCTTTTCATATATCTTGACTTTTTGTAACAGGCATGCTTTAGTTTTTCCAAACCACTAATCCACAAGCAGCTAGAGGCGGCTGGGATCACTGAATTGATCCTGTTATTTCTGGAATGTCAAAACCTTGAATGAACACTGTGGCGTCTCCAGTTATATATCTCTTTAAGGCAGCCTTCCACAATCTGTCTCTGTGTGATGCTGGGTGTATTGGAATTCCAGTGATTGCAATTCCCACACCCCCAGAGTTGCAATACCAGCATTCCTGGAGGAGAGGAAATTGGTGAAGGTTGTCTTAAAGATTGGAATTCTGAATTTTATCTCAAACAGCATCATTTAAACAATTTCAGAACATCTGCAGATCAGCTATTTGAGGTTCCACTTATAATGGCATAGAGTATCTTGTTTCTTTGACATTTTTTTTTTTTAATCTAAGGTTTGGGAAGCAAACGTATCTACCTGAAGAACGGAGATCCTTCGTGTGTGAGAGAGCTTCTAGAACGTTTCAGAAAAGATGCAAGGAGTGTTAAGCTGAGGGCTGGGATGAACCAGCTGGAAGATGTTACTGATACACTGAAATGTTTTCTTTCTGAAATAGATGATGCACTACTGACCAAAGAACTTTATCCTTTTTGGATCTCAGCATTAGGTAATGCATTATGGAATTGTTCTGAAGCCCTAGACACTATCTTCCATGCCTCAGTCAGTCAGTCAGTCAGTCACACCGACAGACCGACACACCGACAGACAGACCGACAGACAGACAGACAGATAGAGGGGGGTTATGTTGGTATTCCCTTTCCAGAGTGATCCTTCAGAATGAGTGAGAATGGGGACCAGTCATCTGTTCTGAATAAGTCATTTAAGCATAAACTTTCCATGCATATACGTGGAAAAATTTGAATAGAGAAACATGTTTGATGTAATGAGAGAATTAATGAAGGATACAAGGGTGATAAGTGGTTCTGAATGGAGAACAGACCATTATCGGTTGTGTCAAGAGTGGATCTTATGAAAACATGGACAGAAGGAAAAGGAAAGAAATGAAGGAAATAAAACTAAAAGCAGAATGGTTGCAGGAAATGAATGTGTCTATTCTTTATTAAAAAAAAAAGTATTAGAAGATAGATTCATCACCAACAAAATGAATGGAAAATAGAATGAGTAAAAAAGATACGGAAGGTGCTTGGAAACAGAATGGAAGTAATTGTGTTAGAGTGTCACAAAAATGTATGGCGTTATGTTAGTGTGAAGTATAACAAGGATGCTTGGTGGAATGATGAAATGGAAGAGGCTGAGGATGTGGAAGGATTGCTGTAAACAAGAAGATGAGCAAATGCTACTAAGATAGATAGATAGATAGACAGACAGACAGACAGACAGACAGATAGATAGAATACACACAGAGAGAATATACATTAAAATTAATTAAATGGAAGAGGCTGAGGATATGGAAGGATTGCTACAAACTTGAAGATAAATATAAATAGATACACAGAGAGAAAGAAAATGTACATTAAAATTAACAGAGAAAATTAGGTACAGTTTTGATGGAAATAACAAATTGGGTTGAAGATATTTGAAAAGGGCTAAATAGGAAGCCTGTGGCGGAGCGAATAGAATTAAGAATAAAAATGATGAGCTTTGGGGGCATGAAACTGAAGTGAAGGAATGCTGGAAGGCAGATTTAGAGTTTTGTATGGGAACAATAGAGATATGTCCAATAGGGAATTGAATCAACGCTACACATGTTATTGTACAAGAAAAATTTGATGAAAAGTAATGTGGGAAGCTTTCAAAAAATGATAAGACTACAGGCTTCGATGGTTTAACTGGAATGACATGAAAATATGGATTTGGTGTACTTAAAGAATATCTGTGTAACTTGTTTAATGTATGTATAAGTGAATTTGATGATTGGAGACTTAGTTTTCCAAGTGTGCCTGGCAAGGTATTTAGCAGAATTTTGTAGAGGAAGAGGTGACAATGAGCAAAATGTGAGAAGTGCAGTGTGACTTTATGCCAATAGGTGGTGAGATTTTGCTCTTCAACAATTCATTGAGGAATTTATGAATATCAGAAAATGTTTTTGATTTAGAAAACATGTGAAAATAAACGGAGGTCTTCAGGAATTCTATGCATAAGAACTTCCTTGTTTTCTCAACTTGCTTAATATACTACAGTAAAATTGCATTCTAGGACAGAAGATATAATACAGTACCTTTATTGCTATATATTTATTTATAAAATTTGCATGCTGCCAAATCAATTCAGATTTGGAAAGCATATTAAATATTAATATATGGGTGGGTGCATATGTGTTTCATTAGTAGTCATTTTCTTGATTATTTTAATGCAGAGATACTATCATGCTTGGCCTATTAGTGGCAAGCTTGTGGTACCCTCTTAAAAAAAGATGGGCCTAAGTTGAAGAAGAGAACAGGGCTGCTCAATCTGATTTAAGTTGAAGACAATGAATATGATTACTCCCAGTATTTTAATATTTTTCTCCTTTTGTTACATTAAAACTTATTATTCTCTGTTGTGGTGGATTCTGAGTTTCTCAGAGATTCTGGTTAACTGTATAAAGCTTGAATTCTCTTAGGCTCCAAAACCAATAGCCAATCTTGGTCTTTCCCCACCATCTCTGAGGTCCAGACAAGAGTGGAACATCTCTGGGCTCCTTAGGAGAATAAATCTGTCACCAGATAAAATATGGTTGGTGATGGAGAACAACCATCTTTCTTTGTTTACCTCCAAGAAAACATTTTGAAGCAATGGATTGCTGGAGCTACAAAAGGAACCTAACACGTTTTTGAGCTTGGCCAAAGACTAATCTTGAAAACTGAGACAAGCTATTAATGCAGTAGTAGAAAAGAGAATAGCTCCAAAATTCAATACTGTAACCTCGCAATAACCTACAGTGAGCAACAACAAAAGGAGAGCATCTTTTATTCTCTACATTTGTCCATTTGTATTTTAATCAGCTCTGCTTGTTATGGGTTAGTCATGAGTCAACAGAGGAATCAAGCTTTAAGGATTGTTATTGTGGGAACTATTGCAGACAAAGAGGTTGCAAGGCATCTTTGTTGTCTCCCAGTTGTTTTTCTTTACAATTGCAGTCGATAACCATTTGCATAGAAAGCGAATGATCTGTATTGTGTCGATGAAGGAGAGGCTGATTGGCTAAATAGTCATGGTAAATGACTTGATGCTGCTGAAGTGGCAGATCGATTCCTTTGTCTTTTGGACCTCATTGTATTAATCCTGAGTAATTTAATTTCTACTCTCCCTCTTCTCCATCAGATACACTGGATGAAAAAGACAGGGTGAGAAAATATAGCACTTTTATTCGAACGCTTCCACCTGTCAACAAAGCAACTTTGGCAGCATTAATGGGACACCTTTACAGGTCAGTGCGTCAGCAAATCTGCTAAAGGAAGGCATCATTTGAACTGGTGTGGGATGTCCAGTGTGGTGTTATAATAGCATGAACTAAGGCATTTTGTAGATGAGTGTGTAACATTAGGGTAAATATTTTGTATGCATCATTTCAGAAATTCATGAAATGATTTAAGTGGGGATGGCGGTAATAGTTTATCCTGCTTTCATGATACTTGCTGACCTTTTCAAAGACTGTCATCTAAAATCATTGATAAAATATTGATAAATAACGTCAATCAAAGTAAACAGCAGTAAAGATTGTCAAAACATAACCAGATCTCACACATGCGCATATTTTTACAGTACAGTTAGTACTAGCGGATGCTGTCTGAGGAATATATTAATAATATCTGATATACTATATTAGCCTCCTCTCTGTATTATAGATGTGAAGCGGGATTAATAAAATTGCAGCTCACACAGGGGCATCCTGGGAATGCATATCAAATCGACCAACTGGAATCTTTATTACGGTCATAGACCCGCATACGTATATTCAAATTATAATTTGAAGAAATTATTAATATAAATGTACAAATCATTTCCAGATGACAGCTTATTTTACTAGATGGCAGATGTTGCCATGAGAGCCAATTTGGTGTAGTGGTTAAGGCACCAGGCTGGAAACCGGGAGACTGTGAGTTCGAGTCCCACCTTAGGCACGAAGCCAGCTGGGTGGCCTTGGGCCAGTCCCTCTCTCTCAGCCCTGGAAAGTAGGCAATGGCCAACCACTTCTGAAATCTTGCCAAGAAAACTGCAGGGGCTTGTCCAGGCAGCCACCAGGAATCCACACTGATTTGAAGATGTGCAGGCACAGAATATTGGCGTAGATGCTTAAAAATAATAATCCGTGTGAAGAAAATCTGCATCTTGTAAAGGAAGTGGCAAATTTATTTGCACAATTCATTACCTTCTTGTTGAACAAGGGACTGCTGTACCTTACCCAATAGTTGCCCATCAAAAACTAAGCTTGGCCACGAGGATTAGAAATTTGCAGTCTTTAAAAGTAGGATTGAGAAAAATTAAAAAGCTGCCACACGTAGGAAATTTTTGGCTGGCAATATGTTCTGTGCTTGCCTGGAATTATGGAATAGACCGAGCTCTCTCTCTCGTTCTAATGGCCTGTCTTCTTTATTTAAAACTGCCCTTTAAAAGTGTTATGAGAGCCATTTACTCAGGGTTTTGCTTTTGAAAAACAAGTTTCTAGCTCTTTGGAATGCAAATATATATTTGAAAAACAGGCAGGCAAGACTTGCTTAAATCTCACAAGCTATATCTCGGGTAGAATAATGAGATATCCAGCAGCTAAGAGGCCAAGTTTCAGGTGTGAATTGTATTTCTGACCTTGACTTGCCACTGACGGGAGATGACACAGAATGTCTTATGTTTTTTTCTGAAGGAAAAATGGTCAGGAGGATGACCTCTGCCTGAAAGTTTAGTTTACTGGCCTGAATGGACTTTTGCTTTGATCCAGTTCTATCATGTTCTCACCCTGGATGAGCATTTCCCCATGGTGTAGTACTGATAAGCAGAAGAAAGAGTTTGTGTCAAAATAGCAGCATGAGAATCATAAGTTAATGAGCTGGGAAAAGATAAAATGTACAATTTCATTTTAATGAGACCTTTTCTTTGAGTTGAACTCTCTTGCTGGAAAGGCATCCTGTGGCCACATCTGTGCAAATCAGTGCCTGCTAATTTTTTTTTAAATAGATTTATTAACTGCATCAACAGGGTTCAGAAATGTTCAGAAATCAATCTCATGGATCCTCACAATCTGGCGATGGCTTTCTCATCATGCTTGTTTCAAACCAAAGGACAAACTAGTGAAGAAGTTGATGTAATTGAAGACTTAATTATAAATTATGTGCAGCTTTTTGATGTAAGTACTCCGCATATTGATCAGATCTCTCTGGTAATATAATTTGGCAAATGGGATGAAAGCTTAAATGCTACTTCATGTGTCTGCCTGGGAAGGTTTTTTTCAATCAAACTCAGTGTGATATTTACCACTTGTGTTTTGTAATCAGAAGGATTCTAAATTTAATGTACAGTTTTGTTGAAACTGGTGCCTCCAACTATGACTCCCATGATTTTTATAATTGCTAAGAATAGTGGCAGTTATAGTTGCAACCTATATAGAATATCTGAAAACACTTAGGCGCACTGCCAACTGGGTGAAGCTAAAGCTGTGTTTTTCATTTGCTAAAAGTTTTCTTATGCATCTGGTATCATCCTTTAGAACAGGCTTATTCAGGAGGTCAGGAGCATACTTGGTATTTTGAGGGCACAGTAGGCATGCTTACAAAATACCTGCCATACCTATTCACAAAGGAGTTGGCATAGTAGGCTTGGTCAGTCACAGAGCACCCATTTTCTAAAAGAAGTTCTCCAGGAGAAATACAGTGATACAGACTGGTGCTTTCCTTTGAAATATGCCAGCATCCTTCCCTTCCCTTCCCTTCCCTTCCCTTCCCTTCCCTTCCCTTCCCTTCCCTTCCCTTCCCTTCCCTTCCCTTCCCTTCCCTTCCCTTCCCTTCCCTTCCCTTCCCTTCCCTTCCCTTCCCTTCCCTTCCCTTCCCTTCCCTTCCCTTCCCTTCCCTTCCCTTCCCTTCCCTTCCCTTCCCTTCCCTTCCCTTCCCTTCCCTTCCCTTCCCTTCCCTTCCCTTCCCTTCCCTTCCCTTCCCTTCCCTTCCCTTCCCTTCCCTTCCCTTCCCTTCCCTTCCAGATGGGTTGTGGGAACTTGTGGGAATCATGTAACTCTATGATGTCCATACCTGTAGAATACTCTGCAATATCTTTGAGCATGGTTACCTGCTATCAAAGTACATAGTACTTTAAAAGTTTAATCAGAAATAGAAAAATACACGCTTGCCAAATTGTACCAGTAGCATTACAAATGTATTTTGTTTTTTTAAAAAATATTCCTTTGTTTTTACTTCTACTGATTTGTTTTAAAGAAATGTTTAATTTGCAATAACCAAGGAGCAAGGATTAAGTGTTAGTGTTTGGAAATCTTTCTCTGCAGATATCATGCTTTACTTTTTAGAAAGATCAGAAGAAGTCTGGTAGCACCTTTTCTGACTAACACTTTTTATCAAAAGGCTTTCATGAACTGCAGCTCACTTCATCAGATGCAGAGCGGTTAAGCTGATGTGGGATTTAAACTGGGATGAGGTGGGGTGGGGGAAGAAGAAAGGGGAAGGTAGGGTGGCTGTACAAATTCAGTGGTTGGCCAGTGACAGGAATAAAACATGTTGCCGCCGTTGTTTGCAAATTAGGTTACACAGAAGACAGATTACGCAAAGTGACCATTTTGGAAAAAATATTTTAATAGCACAATTTAATGAGAAATTGCTGAACTCACACACCTCAAAAGGTTTCAGGCCATCTCAGAAGGTTTCAACATACACAATGGGTTTTAATACATTACAATTGTTAATCATGTGCTGGTAATCTGACTCATACACCACCTACATTTGCATAACCACCTTGTCTTCCCCTCTATTCTTCCCCACTTTAACCCAATTTAAACCTGACATCAATCGAGCCTCTCTGTGATCTGATGGAGTGAGCTACAGCTCATGAAAGCTTTTGCCCTTTAATAAAATTTATTAGTTGAAAAAGGTGCTACCAGATCCTGGTTTTTAGTTTCCATGGCTCTCTTCCTACAATTTTTAGAAAGTTGATATTCACATTTCTCTTTTTAATAGCAAAATAGAAAAATTAGCAGAGGGCATACCAACTCTAATTTCAATTTGCTTTTTTTTTTCCAAATCAACATTTTGGTTTCTACAGCTCCCATTTTGTTTCACTGCTAAAATTTGTACTGCATGTTTATTGCTTATAAAATTTGCTAATCCCTTCTTCACTTGTAATGTGCCAAAGTAATATACAACTCCTAGAAAACATAAAACAATAATGGAAACATCAAGAGCAGCAATAAAACTGTCCAGAAAAGCCTATGCTGAAATATCTACTTGTAAATGTGAAATGGCTGGGAAAATAACCAGATTTTACTGTGTACTTTGGCAGGTCATACAAATGTGGCAAAGTAGGCGTTAGTCTATAAAATCAGAAATAAAAAAAAAGCATCAATAAAAGCACCAATAAAAATCAAGTGTGTAACGAGAAGGTGTATATAGTAGACCAGGAAGTTGGTACCAGGTTCCTGAATCATAGGATTGTAGATTTGAAGGGGATTTCAAAGATCTTCTAGTCCAACCCTCTGCATTTTGACGGAAAACCAAATCAACCATCCACGAAAGGTGGTTGTCCAACTTCTTCTTAAAACTGGAAAGGAATTATCATTATCATTAGTTCTGAAAAGTTGGCTTATCAAATGCATAACAACAGGAAAACATCTTCAGGACTTTTCTTCCCCCAGAGCAGGAATTCTATTTGCCACAGACCCTGAATAATTGGCAAGCCTTTCTTATTGTAGAAATGTTATGATTACAAGGTCTTCAAAGGTCTCCTATTACTTACTAGTGATTAGAATTGTCAGAGAATGAAGATAATTAACAAACAGGCTGGATAGCTTTCATTTTCATGTCGAACAGCTGAGATTGTGACATTTCATTGTACGTTGGTTCAAACTTCTAATTAAAAACTAAAGTCTACATTACAGCAGCCTGAAGATCTTTTTTAATTTTTTTATTCTTTTAAAAAAAATTTTTGAAAAAGCTCATAGGCTTTAATCCATTAAAGTAGCAGTGATCCCATTGATTTCGGTGGGCCTCCTCTAAGCATGTCTTATCCTAGATCTAAGCTTGTTTGACCTATGCAAGTCAGGATTAAATATCATTGATTTCAGTGGTTCATATTACAGGATTGCAATTGAAATTTCCTGTGACATGTTATTAATGGTTTATTTTAGCATGTCTGTGTTTTATTAATGTGTTTTTAATGATTTTTTAAAAAATGTACAATAAAGGAGATCTGCGTGTGGACACTTATAAAACTTGTGTACATGAACGTATATATGGTGTACCTGTGATGTCTGCCTGAAGAGGCTATGTACACTGTCATGTTAAGTTCCTGCATTTGAAACCTTAACTCTAACACAAGGTGTACACATGTGAGTGTGTAGTGTGTGTGTGTGTATAATTTTCAAGAGAATAAAAACAATACAAATTTTGAATTAAAGAGAAAAAGAATAAGGAAAAGTAATATGGAAGTGAAAAAGAAATAAAAAAGGAAAAAAAAAGAAAGAATGGCTTCCAGTCATCTAAACAACAGTTACAAGTGCATTTATATTTTACCCTCTCTAAGGTTACAACATGATTTCCTTCTTTCCATAGTGTACCCTTTCTAATCAGCAAACCTGTAAATCACAAATTCATTTTTTTCTTTTTTCTCTCTCATTTAACAAATTTAACATTGATGTGGTCTATTTTCTTCAGAATACAGTTCTAAAGAAAAGGTTTTGCAGATAGAAAGCTAGCTCCAGGAGTACCCAGAAAGAAATCTTACTTTTTGCACAGAAAAATGGACTCTCCCACTCAGGGACTAAAGATTGTCATACTTCTGTCCTTGCAGTCTAGGCTGGAAACAGTTAAGCAGGAGAATATAGGAGTTCTGATGTATGGTATTCATTGGAAGGAAGGTTGAGGTTATAACAGAAGAATTCCAACAAGTACCTTACATGTAGTCCTTCACTTAACAACCACAATAGGGACTGAAAAATTGGTCATTAAGCAAGTCACCACATGACCTGATCCGATTTTACGGCCATTTTTACAACGGTTATTAAGCAGATCACAGTCACGTGGTTGCTAAGTGAATCCAGCTTCCCCAATGGACTTTTTTGCCAGAATTTGCTTAACAACCATGTGATTCACTTAATTACTATTGTAAGAGTCACAAATCACAATTACATGACTGCGGGGGAGGGGGTGCGACGGTTTATGATAGTCATAAGTGCCAGTACAGGCTGAAAAGCACTTTTTCCGAAGCTGTTGTAACTTTGAACTGTTGTTAAATGAACAGTCATTAAGTGAGGACTACCTGTATTTTCAAATGAGACACATTTATATAGGCAACTTGTGGCCTTGTCTGATTCGTCTTGCTTTTTTGATATAAGGGGCTGGAAGGTTGCCTCTTATATGAAGACAGGACAGTTTCCATATGTTTATTGTTTTGGTAAATACTAGGTTTTTTAAAAAAAATTATTAATGTGAGAAATAATTTTGCAATGAGATTGGATGGAATGGATCAACTCATTTGACTGCACATATAGGTCGGGGGAGGGGATTTGTTTTACAAAAGAGTTTGATTGTGTTTGATGTTTAGTATAGCACTGTTTTGGGACATGGAAGTCTCCCTTTATTGTCCTGTGTACAGACCAGGCCAGCATTGCATTCAAGAATAGAGTTGATGTCCCTTGCTTTGGTCAAAAAGATGCTTGGGCAACTCACTTTGTAACACTTTTTTTCTTACACAGGTCCAGCAAGATCAAGTGAAGCAAATGGACATTGAGAACAGCTTTATTACCAAATGGAAAGATACTCAAGTATGTAATCATGATTCCTTCATTTGTGTGGAGAAGGGAATATGGTTCATAGATGCAGGACATGCTGGCATGAAAAAGACTCTGAGTTCAGTCTTAGGTCCGGTTTGGAATCGTGTCCATCTGAAATCTAAGGGGAGCCTCTGGATGAACTGCTGGTCTGGCTGGTTATAAGACAGCTGCTTATAATCTTTCTTTGGCTTACTGGTGAACTTCAGTTATGATGGATTTATAGAAGCAAGAGAAATAATGGACAACATTTGATAGTAATACAAATAATGAAGGAGTTGCAGTTTAAAGGACTTGCTAGGGATCATCCAAACTGGCACTCTCTTGATGAGTTGGGAGTACAGCACCCAGAATTCCTAGTCATTATGGCTATTGGTCCTAACACACCTGGGGAAGGTAATTTCAGGAGTTTTGAGGCAGTTTGGCTCTGTATCATCAGAATGGATTGAGATGAAAAGTTAGTGCAAAACCAAAGGATGAATAAACAGAATAGCAGGATTCTTATTCCAAAGTGTTTAGCTTGTGTGTATCTATGTTGCTTCTTTAGAAACTCAGTTTTTTCAGCGAAGAAATTCCTGTTCGAACATTAAAGGAGGAGTAGAAAGAAGAAGCAGACATGGAGGTTTTGAACAGGGCCTTTCCTTGCTTTGGGGAAAGTTAGCAAGTTGCAGTGACCCACATCTTTTTTGGGGGGGGTAAAACCCTGACCCACAGAAATGTGCGTATCACAACAGTTGAACTGGCCTTGCTCATTCAGTCTCTCTCCCTGTTTGCCTGCAGCCTGAAAGATTTCCAAAATAAATCCCACGTACTGTACTACGATAGCTATTTACCCCCAGTCTAAAAAGAGTGATGACCTATGGCTAGGTCCCCTTACAAATCTGAAATAAAAGGAAGGATAGATTCCCCCTAGATGGAGCTAGTTTCCCTTTGCAAATCTGCTTCTGTTTGCAAAACTTAAACCAATGCTGGTGACGCTTCAGGCTTGCCTGGTGCCTCTGCTAAACTTTCAGAAGTGAAAAATAGCTTTTAAAAGTGTACAGATGTCGCAGTACTCTTTTACTGTGATTTGTTCATACAGTGGCGAGAAGAAATTTGCAAAGCAAAACTTGAACAAGGTTTTTGGTGAGGTAGGAGCTTCCCAGGGTCTTTTGCATTATGAAAAAAGGCATGCTGGGTTAAAAATAAAGCATGCTTAGCCCAGACTTTTGCAGCTTGAAAGAGAAAAACTCATGCTGTTTACAATGACCTTGTTTGCCATTCCAGTTGACACTTGATTAACCATGTTTCTTTTTTTCTCTGCCCACCAAACCATTCTTTTTTTTCTTTACCAGCTGTTTTTATTTGCAGCCCAGATTTTTCCCCCTCCAGTGTGCAGTTGTTTACATATACTAGTGCAAATCAAATGTCAGCTTCATTCTTTCCTACAACCTTTGTGTTTTTTTCTTTCAGTAGAATCATCTCAAAAGCACATTTTGCCAGGAAATGAGCTTTTTCTGAGTCATTGCCAGCATAATTAAGTTTTCTTCAAAGTCACTTTGTAATGTTTTTCCCCTCCACAAATGATTTCATTAGTTTCAGTTCTCCAGAGGCTGCTGTGACCCTAGACTGCTAATCTTTCCATTGTGTGGTTCTTTTAAAGCAGAAGTGTTGCATTTAATTTTTTTTTTTTTTTGGTCACAGAACATAGAGTATTTTTACTAGAAAACTACTTGGACTAGGTTCCGTAACTATTTTGGCTTTTATAATTCTATACCATCATGCCAGTTAATGCACCTTGCCTCTATAAACCATTAGGACAATTGCTGACACCATCACTTTTTATATGTTATAACAATCCTCATAGTAGTTTGTAACCACTTCTGCAATTCTCTTGTGTATCCGATTTATGACCAACTGTTATATGCTTCAGGAAGCCTTGGCCCAGCTAATCTGGATTAGCCCCACCATTTAAAGAGCAACTTCCATGCCCTTCAGTTTGGTGTACAAATTTATTTACTCCCTGACCAAGTTTTATCTCTTCTTATAAAGGAGAACGTTGCTGTCTTCAGGTATTTGGTCAAACATACATAAAAGGACTCCCCCTTCATATGTCAGACCATTCTTAGTGGCTGATTCATCATGGTGTCACTCAGAAGAGACTGTGCTTATGTTGATCTATCCATTGAGATGGGAACCTTGGTGTAATGGTATGTGGGAATGACCTTGGGACACAGGAGGAAGAGTACAGACTAGGCAATAGTGAGATAAGTGGCAGCTGTGTCCGCAGAAGGAATGGGGGGCATGGCAGACATCTCAGAAGGGACCCTCCATAGTATCTTGGACTGTAAAGGTGAGGGGGGAGAGTCGTAGTTTCAGACTTTCAAGATTATGTTACTATAGCCTTACAATAAAGATAGAGCTAGTGCTTCTGGGTGTACTTCTTGTCTGGACTACCTCGCAACATCAGTCTTGCAGGTCTGAAAATACATCTCTCCTTAGCAAACTCTTGCACTGAAGCAAAAATTGGTTTATTACATGGTATCAGAGGCAATGAAGGCTAACATAAAGAGAGAAAGGATCCATCCCCCATATAGATTTATGCAAATTATACTTTACATTTAATCAGTGCAGTAAATTATGAGTTTATAGCATTTGTGTATTAATCTGTTCCGGATGATGAAGTCACAAGGCCAACAATACAATGGTTTATTTAACCACACAGAGACAGCTTTCATAAAGAGATGGTTTCTATCTATGTTACTTTTTGGCCTTGCTTCCCAACATGATTATTATCTTCCAAAACCATAATCAACATTCTTTTGTGTCTAAATGTTTTATGATTGATTGAGCTGAGAGTTTATTTTCTCTGGGAAAGTACATTTGGGAGGGGGGTGGTTTTCTTGCCGTAACTAGAAAATTTTTCCCACAACAGTTCCATTTAGCGTGGTCAGAGGCCTGACCATTGTACATTAGACTTCTGTTGACATGTGTCAGCTGAGGGTTCAGTAAAGGGAACTGATGTGGAAAAGTGGTATGAGGTAGAATGTATGGAAATACCGAAGTGGAAGAACTAGTCTGGTGCATTTGCAGAAAATTGACAGTTCTGTTACATGTTATGATTATTAGTCATATTTTAGAAGGTAAAATCTTCTTGAAGTTGAGCTCAGTGCCTGGTGATCAAAGGAGGCAACCTTTGTTTGTTTGATAAGAGTACAAAAGTGGTGTGCTATTGCTTTCTTCCAGAACGTTGTTTTCAACTTCTGAATCTAACCTATCACTCTAGAATTTCATGACAGACTCACATCAAGTACTAACTAGGTCCAACCCTGTTTAGCCTCAGTCCACCTATTACAAGATGGACAAACACTTCTGTTTCTTTCTGGTATACCAATCTCCAGGTATCAATATTAATTAATTTACGGCACATTGGAATGCCTAATTCTTTGCCTGGAATTTTACAGTACCCTTTTAAAAATTTTTTAAATGTATTTTTGGCATTAAATAGGAACAGCACAGATGTCTTGAGAGTTTCCCAGGGCTCTCGTCATTTGGAAATGTGGCAGATGGTTGACAGAGGTGTCCCTGCACAAGGGGCTGTCAAACTTTGATTCAGGGACGTTTCCTTGGAATGGGAAGCAAATGGTTGATCCACCCAAGTGTAACCAATATAAAATTTGCTGGAGAAGGAGAAGGAAGAGGAGAAAGAGAAGGAAGGAAGGAACACAGGCTTTTTAATAAGTGGCTGTGGCAACTGGATATTTTCTCTTTGAATATGTTGTATCAGTTCAGACTTCAACCAAGTGAGGATGCTGTCTACTTCACTGTAAATAATACCTAGATAACTAGCTTCTCAGGAAGAAGTATCTAGCCTATTCTACTTTTCCATATGAAATACTTCTTAAAAATATAGAAATAAATCGAATTTGCACTCCACTGAAGCTCATGGCGGCTCAGGACATACTGAAATACAGTGGTACCTCAGGTTACGAACGCCTCTGCATACGAACTTTTCGGGTTATGACCAGCTCTGGCCGCAAAAATTTACCTCGGTTTGCGAACTCCGCCTCGGGGTACGAACCGGATCCGCAGCCATTTTCCGCCCGTGCCACGTGGTCCGCGGCCATTTTTCTGCCCGTACCACATGGTCCGCAGCCGTTTTTCTGCCCATGCCACGGGGTCTGCGGCCATTTTCCACCGTGACACGTGGTCCGCGGCCGTTTTTCCGCCCTTGATGCGTGGTCCGCGGACGCCGGAACGGATTAACGGTAGTTACATTGAACCTTATGGGAAAATTTGCTTCGGGTTGCGAACAAATCGGGTTGTGACCAGAGTCATGGAACGGATTAAATTCGTAACCCGAGGTACCACTGTACAGTACAAACGTCTAGAAAAGAGTAGTATGCTATAAGACAATACAATTAATAAGTAGAGTACCTCATTAAAAAAAAATACCCAAGTAGTGACAATCATCGTAATTCCTCCCAGGCCTTCTGAACAAGCTTCCAGAAGTCCATCAATGTGAGGCCTTCAAGTCTTCAAACTAGGGAGCCCCTATCTGGAACCTGCAGTAGTACCGTGCAAAACCATGTTCTTAGTCATAATTAACGTAAGATGGAGGTCCAGTGCTCATTTGGTGCGTCTCTAAATAGTCTGGGTCATGCATGGAAAATTTGCCATTGCTTATAGGATTTTTGCCCTTCTTTTTGGATCATGTATTTATCCTCATTCATTTTCAGCATATGGCAAATTGTCCTACCTTTGCAGCACTTGAGATGCAATTGTTTCAGTCCATACAAGGAAGACTTAAAGTATTAGGATAAGGAAGAATAGAAGCCCCCAATTGCTGATTCATCGCCTTGATTTTTATAAACTAATTTTTATTTTAGATTTCTCAGGCCGGAGACTTGCTAATTGAAGTTTATGTGGAAAGGAAGGAGCCAGACTGCAGCATTATAATAAGGGTTTGTATTTCATATTAAAAAATGTGTATTTTGTCTGTTGCTTTAAGGCAGTTCAAAAGGCCACTCTTTCTTTTTTAAACATTGACGTAAGTTGCTGACTTTTAAATGTATATCTATTTTCATTATTATTAAATTTTGTAGGACAAGTCCCTTACTCAACCATAAGCATGCATGGAACTGAGTTTCTCTATATCTATATATACCTAAGGACCAACTGAATATTAGAGATGCAGATTTACTAGTATCATAGTTTTAGGCCATAGTGTCAGTCAGGAAGGAGAAGAAACAAAAGAAGGCAAATCTCCAAATCCTTTTTCAATCTCCTTTGCAGTTGATTACTTTTGTCAGTAATATGAATTACATATCCACAGCTTTAACTGGACATAGCATCCAACTCTCAGAGAGTGGACTGAGGCATATTGTCTGTTTACCATGTTTTAAACAATAACATAATAGCATCGCTAAACTGTGGAAAGACAATTCGGTTTATATTCACTGTGTATGGAAATAAACAGTAAAAGAAATTGTGAAGTACAAGGTTGGTGAAATACATTTTCTCCTGGCATAGCTACTCTAAGCCTGGTGCTTTAACTGTTTCCAACTGTAGAAATTTCCAAAGAAATACTCTGAAGTCCTCCATAGGATTGTGGGGAGGGCAGGAGGAGGGGGAAGAAGAACATAAGCATTGGTTTAACAAAAGTTAGAGGGATTTGATAGAGATTGGTTTCATTATAATTTTAGATTACATGTCATAGGTCAGCAAGACTTTTTTTTTTTTATAAAGGAATGATGAGACTTGTCTCTTAGTCTCTTAGAAATATCAAATAGGTCTTTGGAGGAAAAATGACATGGGACAAAATGCTTTCAATAGTATTCTTTGTAATTTTTAAACATAATGAGAATCTTTTCTGATATCTTCTTTCACAGTTGATGATGACTTGGTTGGGCATTTTTCCCTCCTCTGAGAGCATAAAGCTCTGACATGAGTTAGAATCTCTAGGTAGTTTTGAATAATTTCTAAACTCTATGTGATCTTCAAAGCAGATATCACCAACAATGGAGGCAGAAGAATTGACTAATGATATCCTGGGAATAAAAAACATCACACCCCATAAGGATGATACGTGGGCTACATTTGAAGTGATCGAAAATGGAGAACTAGGTTAGTCATTTTTGGCATCGTCTTTGAATATTTATGCTTACTATTCCTTGCCATTTCCTTTGCAGAAAAAACAGCAGGAGCCATAATGCTACTCCATGGAAATACTCAATGTAATGAGATTCTGAAAGATGTTCAAGAAGTTCATTTTGGAGAGGTGACAGAAGAGAGACCATTTGACCAAACTCCTCTCCCCCATGCTTTATATATTAACTTAAACTCTCCTATCCTCACTGGCACTAGAGAATCATATTTTAAAGTGTTTTCTGTGCACCTTTAGGGTAGGCGACACCAAATAGCTTAAAACAAATAAGGCCAAAGTAGACAAGCTATCATTTAGTGAATGGGCAATTCCATGAGTGTCCATATGTTATTTTTGTTGAAATAAAACACTGACATGCAGTGCTTGATCCAGAAGAGAGCCTGGACAGAAGACTTCCTGCTGGAGTCCTGACCCAATCAGAAATCTCTGTGATTCATTTTGCATTTGTATAAAAGCCATTACTGGTGGATGTGAGAACTTCCCTTCTGGAGCAAATGGGAAATCCAGGTGTTCCAAGTGCCTTTTCTGTGAGGGTCCTAATCCAGATTGAAATCCCCCCTTTTGCTGTTTACTTTTAAAGAGCTGATTTACAAAATCAGTACTTGCAGAAATAGTGTCTTAGCTCTAACACAGCAGTCCTTTCTTGAAAATTTGGAGAGGCAAAAATTGCTGAGTTAAGGGTGTCCACTAGATCAGGGTTCCTCAACCTTGGCAACTTTAAGATGGGTGGACTTCAACTCCCAGAATTCCCC